TATATGAGAATAACAATAGTTCACTACATTATAAGGTCGTTATGGGACCGTGTGTGTGTGTGTGTGTGTGTGTGTGTGTGTGTAAGAGATTATGGTAGGCACTATATAAGTACTAGCTATGGCCAGATCTTCCTGTATTTCCCGTTGTGGTTAGTGGACCATTGTTTAACCACTTACCCTAACCGGAAATGTGAGATTTATCTTAACTCTCCAACGTCCCTATATTCCACATCAAAAGTCACTGAGTCCTATCACTAATCTTCTTGCCATCACCATTAGTACCTTGGACTTAACCTTTCTTATCCTTACCCCAAATGACCTAAATTGACCAATCTTCCTATCTTAAGTCTTTCCCTCATTTTGACATTCAGCAGTGATTTTTCTGCAATGCAGATCTGATCTCTTAAAACTCATCAGTGCTTTCCTGTTCTAGAAAACAAATACGACTACAAGTGAAGGCTCTAAGGTCTGTACCTGCTTCTTTCTCTGTCTAGTTCCAACCTTTCTTCAATATTTACACTTCCCGAACACACTGTGCTACTTTGGGTTTCTATGTCTTTGAACATTCAGATTCTCTGTGCAATGTCTCCTGTCTCCTGATTCTTCTCTGAAGTTGTTTCTGGTAGGTCATCCAAATGTAAGACATATTCCTTCCTCTCAGCTGATACTATATTTCATGTGGATCTTATCCATAGCACCTGTCACATTTATTATAATCATTTGCATGTCATTCTCCTCTGAGGCTGAGCTTAATTATCTCTGAGTGAATCAGACACATGAATTAACTTCTCGGAGAGTATAAGTTACATGTCCCATCGTCAGTCACAGGCAGTTGTTAAACATTTATTTATTGAGCAGATCATCTGGTTAATGATCACTTACACCTATATTGAAGATAGCATCTCTATAGTTATTTCATTTGCTACCAAGGGGGACATTATTTTAGCTTTGTTGCTATAGCAAGTGTGCTCTTCCTTCCCATTCTTCCAAATTCAGCCATTTTCTAGTGGAGCAATAATAATATTTCTGAAAAACTAAGTTTCTGGAAGAGCCAATAAGAAAGGTTGTCAAGCCAGTTCTTAGACCATGCTGTGGAAATTGTTCTCTACTTGTTGTCTATGAGTAAGGATGCTATAAAATAATGTTGACTTATTGCCTGAAGAACCACTGTTAAGGCTGTAGATTGATGCTCTATTGAGGAGCCTGAGAGAAGAAAGGCATTTGAGTTGTAGCTCTGTGTGGCATAGAGAAGAAAGCTCTCCTTCTGCCCTGAGGTCTATACAGTCCAATCTCAAATAAGGCAGTCAGGCAATAGACTGGAATCTATTTAATAATGCCTAGTCTTCAGATTACTCTTCTCACTCCTACTTAAAGGCTCATTTGGGAGGAAACTGGCATATGGGTGTGGATGTAGGGGGTGGTTTATGGTTTAAATGGGGTCTGTGACTCCTCATTTCCATACATGTGTATGTATTAGATCATGAATTTAAAGGACATTTGTAGTCTCTAACTAAAGTAATACTGAAGGTATAAGTCATTATTTTTCCTGCTTGAAGGTAGTAATTTTCTCATGAGATATATTGATGGGAGAAAACTAATCACCTTTTTTTTTTTTCGGTACTGGGGATTGAACTTGGGACCTTGAGCTTGCGAGGCAGGCGCCGGAACCACTGAGCTAAATCCCCGGCCCAAAACTAATCACCTTTTGCAGAGAAAATAATAACATTCAAGTAGATGTTTGCACCCAATGGCTAATGAATTATTCAAGCTTGCTTGTTTGCACCTGGGCTTGGTGTCAGTGGAGGCAGGGGTGATGAACTGAGCTTTCCAAACCATTATAACTGGTCAACACCAAGAGGATAGTTCAGTGGGATCTGTGGCTGCTCATCTCCAGATTCCACTCATGGATTGTCCAAATATTATTTATAGTGCTTTAGTTTTTTGTTGGCTTGTTTTGTTTGGTCTTTTGGTAGGAGAATGCATCAGTACCAGAAAATCACACTCTGGCCATATCCTAAGAATAATAAGAGTAACATTTTTTTGTGGTGCTTGGATGTTGTATTTCATTTGACCCATACAACTGGGGTTATAGTTAGGTCCCTGAGGTTGTTAATAAAAGAAACTGAGGTTTAGAGAGATTGTGCCTGTCTTCCTTTGCTATTCAAAGGAAGACCTCTGATTGTTACCTGAGGACTCATCCCCTTGCCGCTCACAGCAGGAGTGGTTTTTATTTTGCTGGATCATCAGAATGAAATGGATTTCCAGGATGCCAATTAGCTGCTCACTTTTCATTGGAGAGAAACTGTGTAGTGCTTTGCTGTGTATCGGAGGCTCCTGTGAAGCAGGAAAGATATCCAAATAGTAAAGTTTGGTTACCTGATATTTTCAGTGTTGGCCAAAATGTGTGTAGATGGGTGAGAGCCACAGAGGGAGCCAGTAAATGTGAATAAGAATGACGCTGAGGCTGCATACTTGGACCTGTTTATTACTCTTAATGCAAAGTCCTGCTTGCTAAATAAAAAAAAAGCCCAGAAAAACATTCAATGTATTTGTGAGCTTAGTTTTCATTTACTTTTCTTTTTCCTAGTGCTAGAATCAAACCCAGGGCCTTGCACATGCTTGGTGAAGGCTGTACCACTGAGCCACATCCCACGCCGCTTGGGCTTATGTTTTAGTCCAATTTATGAAAATTATTTGCTGTTTAAAACATTGGGTACATCCTGTTTTACTTTAATAATGTTCAAAGGAATTGCTACTAAATCTATATCAAAATGTGTAGCCACAAGGATGAGTTGAAGTAGGTCCCAGCATGAGGGTGTAAAGTGACTAAACTCCTTCCTTCTTCTTTTTTGTTTAAAAACATTATATGTATATATATATTAATATTGTATTGATTTGCTGCATGGCATTATTCAGGCATTTTGACCTTTTACTTCTCTTGGGTATTTAAACATCCTGAAACCTCTCCCGTGACAGCTCAAATTCTCTCCAGCTCTTTACTCTGGGGTTTTCGCTGTTTTTACTGCATTTGTTTTGATTTTCAAATCAACCTTTTCCTTTTTGGCTATGGGCACGGAATAGAGGCTTTGTTCGTTTTAATTTTTTTTTGGTACCAGGGATCGAACTCGGGACCTTGCACTTGCAAAGGAGGCGGTGGCACCACTGAGCTAAATCCCTGGCCCTGTTCATTTTCATTAAATTTTAAGTGATTACTGAAACCATCTCCACTAGCAATTATTCTAATATGGTGCCTGGAAAATGTTGAAAGAATATGTAGTTATACACATATTTAGCTATATTCAAAACATCATCATAAGGAGAATGTTGGTCTCTCTTTTTTCCAAACTCCCAGGTCATTCATCTGTCCTCATCTTTTCTATGTTCATGTCAGTATCTTCCCATTAGACTTCAAACTCTGGTGCACACAGTGACTACCTAGCATGGGGCCATTTCCACAGCATCTCCCTAGCATTTCTTAGTTCCTCAGTGAATTTTTTTTGAAGAATAAGTAACTACTTATTTCAGTTTGCATTTTGTAGAACAAACACAAATCTGAATTTCACTGTTTGATTTCAGTTGCATACAGTAACATTCTAATTGAACTTGAGCCCTCAGAATTAAGAAGCAAGTCATTAGCTTAGTTGAGAGGCAGTTCAGTACTATTTCCTTTATCACAATATACCTTGGCACTTGCAAAATAAAACAGGTGTAGGTGAAATTATGCTTGATTCTGTTTCTGTAACGCTGTATTCCAAAGAATCAGTACCACCAAAAGCTTGAATTTTGGAGCGTTCCCACTGGCCTTTGCTTATTTCACATGTTGCTGTTCATTAAAATCTTGTCTGTGTAGGGCTGGGGATTTAGCTCAGTAGTTCCGCCCCTTCCTCACAAGCGGAAGGTTCTCAGTTCCATCCCCGGTACCAAAAAAAAAAAAAAAATCTCGTCTGTATTGAAAATTTTTTCAATAATATGCATAGTAAAGTGTAACCCATTATCATCTGCTGAGTTGTTGAATGATACATTTTGCGTTTAGGCCAGTAGTTCTCAAATCCTGGTGAACATTAGACTCCCTGGGAGTTTGTTAGGCGTTCAGATCTGCAGGTTCAGAGTAGGTCCTCAGCATCTGGGGTTGTAATACTTTCTGGTGGTCCTGGAACCACTTTTGAGGAACACTGCCTTGGAGTCAAAAGTTGATTTTGAATGAAATTCTATGATAGTTCTCTCCAAGTTTGTGAGGTATTCTAAATGTGTTTAAAAGCTGTATTACTGGTCTATGTACAAATTCTTTGGCATTTTAGAATTAGTAATGACTTATTTGGCATTGCCAATGAAATTTTATATAATACTTTCTTTTCTGCAGGTTTATTGGTCCAGAGTATATTAGCATGCCCTGAAACTCCCATTTATTAGGAATGACAAGAAACAAAATTCAAGCTGCAGTATTTTTTCTCACGTCAGTTTCTGTAGACACAATATTTGTCACCACTTGATCCCACATTTTGTGTGTCTTTTTATTGGAGAAAAATATCAGGATATTTCCAAAACACAGTCTAATGCACTCTCTTAGTAATGGTCAATATTTGATGGTGCTAATATTGATCCTGAAGCCAGAGAGGGTACTGATGATTTAAAATCAAGTTAAAGGCTTAATTTCAACATCAAATACTTTTACTAGTGCTGAACCTTTGAAAATGAAAATGATAAAATAACAAAATCTTAATGAAAGTTTTTATTAACTCCAGCAAAATAAAACAGGTGTAGGTGAATGAATGATGTATTCCAGTGAGGTCAGTATGATAATAATGTGTTGATATTCAATATACGGCCCTCTGCCCTCTTTGTAAACTTTGTGAATGCTTCTTTTATAGATAGATCTAGCATTCTTTAGGTGATACATTGAAAGATTGAGAATTAGAAGAATTACTGTAGACCTCAGTTTCTAAATTTATAGGTGATCAGAATTTCTGCATGGCTTAATCTATTATTTCTTATCTTTTCAGGGACTTTCTTCCTCGAGGGTCAGGCATCGTGACAAGACGACCTCTTGTGCTGCAGCTTGTTACTTCTAAAGCAGGTAATGGATGCAGATGCTTGCTGCATGGATGGGCACATCGATGGCACCTATCATTCCATTCCAGGGTGCAGGGTTGTGCTCATACAAATGCTTTTGTGATCACTCTGCTGTAGGCAGCTGCCTACATTTCTCCCCACAATGCTTCCTTCTTGGTTGCTCTTTTAATTCTTGGATTATGTGAAGGAGAAATTCTCATTTGCCTATAGTTTTTTAACACTCCCTTTTATACCTTGAAAATAATATAATAATAAAATAATATTTGCTCATTATAATCTATCTATATAATTTTACATACAGTACATACTTCCTTTTGGATATATATATATATATATATATATATAATTTATTTATTTATTTATTTTTTGAGTTACAAATTTCAACAACCATACCTAAAAGTGGCTGAGTTATATGGTAAGTTTAATTGCTTACAGAACTGACAATTTTCCAAAGTACTTGCACCATATTATATTCCCACACGTACCACCTGTAACGTATGGTGGTTCCAATTCCCCACATCCCTGCCATTACCTCCAGGTGTAAAGTGGTTTGTGTCATTGTGATTTTGACTTGCATTCCCTCATCATTGATGTTGAGTACCTTTTCATGTACTTCTTGGTCATTCATATATCTTGTATCTTTTTTTTTGGTACCGGAGATCAAACTCAGAACCTTGTGCTTGCAAGGCAGGCACCGGAACCACTGAGCTAAATCCCTGGCTGGTCATTCATGAATCTTGATTGGGGAAATATCTATTCATCTTTTTGCTCATTTAAAAATTGGATTGTCATTTTAATATTGAGTTGCAAGAATTCTTTTTTGGTGTGTTTAATTCTTTTCTTGGTACATTGTAGGTATACAACACAATTACATTTCTCATTGGGAATTGTACCTTCACATAATGGATCTTGGTTCTTATTTTTTCCCCATTCCTAGCCCTCCCTTCAC